TAATATTTATTTCACTTTTGTTTACTATCTACTTCACTTGCTTTGGCAATGTTAACATACGTTTCCCATGCAAATAAAGCCCTTAAATTGAAAATTGAAATTGAGAGAGTGTGTGTGTATAGAGTGTCTGTATGTAGCGGAGGAGGTGTGACAGGCTGACCTCTGTATGCAGCCGTGAAGGAGTGTAGTCCAGCACTGCCTGTCAAAACATGGTCTGTCTGGAGCCCAGCCTGGAGGGACCACTGGAAAGACACTGCCTGTCAAAACATGGTCTGTCTGGGGCCCAGCCTGGAGGGACCACTGGAAAGACACTGCCTGTCAAAACATGGTCTGTCTGGAGCCCAGCCTGGAGGGACCACTGGAAAGACACTGCCTGTCAAAACATGGTCTGTCTGGAGCCCAGCCTGGAGGGACCACTGGAAAGACACTGCCTGTCAAAACATGGTCTGTCTGGAGCCCAGCCTGGAGAGACCACTGGAAAGACACTGCCTGTCAAAACATGGTCTGTCTGGAGCCCAGCCTGGAGAGACCACTGGAAAGACACTGCCTGTCAAAACATGGTCTGTCTGGAGCCCAGCCTGGAGGGACCACTGGAAAGACACTGCCTGTCAAAACATGGTCTGTCTGGAGCCCAGCCTGGAGGGACCACTGGAAAGACACTGCCTGTCAAAACATGGTCTGTCTGGAGCCCAGCCTGGAGAGACCACTGGAAAGACACTGCCTGTCAAAACATGGTCTGTCTGGAGCCCAGCCTGGAGGGACCACTGGAAAGACACTGATAATAGCGACTGGCAAGAGGGCAGCAGGACCAGGAGAGAGGGATGGGGGGGAGTGAAGGATGGATAGAGAGAGAGAGGGGGATAGAGGAGATGAGAGGGGGATGAGAGCTAGTGAGAGAGTACAGCCAGAGATAATAAGGGGGAGCTAGTAGCTTGAGCAAGGGAGACGAGAGGGCTGATTTTCACCCTGCATACCACTGATCTAGGACACAGCCTCTCAAGGCAGAGAGATGAGGCAGAGAGGGGAGGGGGAGAGGCAGAGAGAGATGAGAGGGGAGGGGGAGAGTTGCCAAGCCAGAACCTCTCTGCCTGGGTTGATGTCTCTGTCTCTGCCAGAGAACACTGAGTCCTAACAGATACACACACACACACACACCAGAGGGAGGAGACCGGGTCCAAGACATCCATCCACCTTTTGAAAGATGCACTGTGTCCGCCAGGTCTCATCGGACCTCCTTTTGTTTAAACAAGACATCTCAGTCGGTCAAATGTTGTTCCAGCCATTCTCAGGGTAGTAGAGACCGATTATTGGCCCGCAGTAATCGAACAGCTGAATTCACTTAGGCCCAGAGGAGGCACAGCCAGGTCCAATTAGACTGTGGATTAAGAGTGATTGCCTTCTGTGTCCTGAGGTGGCACGGAATGGCGCTGGCTGCCATCTTGAGAATCGCTTTCATTAGGTTATATTATCATGGCGGCCGCTGGCTATGCTAAGATAAGCTAACACACACACGTGCAAATGCTAAGCACCACCACCAACAATGGACTCTTTTACCTGGAGTCTGGAGTGGGGTGGACTTTAAGATTTTAACAATGCAATCGAGGAGGGTGATGGGTCGGTAGTTTGTAGTTTGTAGTTTTGGCTGGAAAGGGGCAGAGTGAGATAACCCTTTTTCCTGACCAGACCGCCAGGGCGTTGTTTTATCAGGCAGTGTGCGCGGGGAGCCTAAGCAGCTGGATTTCATTAATTGAGTGCTGGCAGCACCGTCTCTCTCTCTTCTACGGCAGTGGTGACTCACACAGTGGGATTCATCCTTCTCTCTCACTCCCTCCGATATCATCTTCCAACCATAACTACAAATAATTATTCACTCAAATCCATTACCAGAGGTCAATCAAGTTCACCCTATCGGCTTCTAAAGTCCAATTACTGGGCGCCAAGGAAGACTCCTGCTCTCCATCTCTCTCCACATGTAGATCATCATCATCCCCAGGCCCATAGGCAGCAGGCGGGCGAGCCAGCAAATTACACACAGCAAACACAGGTCTGTGTGTGGAAGAATTAGTGAGTGTGGATGAGAATGAGTTTTCCCTCAGGCGCTTTAATAAAAGGGGGAGACTCACACTAGCTGACCACCCGAGGGGCCCCATCATACTATTTACCACCATGCTCTGCCTACTATGTTCAGTAGAATGACTAGACCCCACTCAGACTGGTAGTGAGACACCATAAAAACTAGCCAATCAGTGTCTCATCGTCCATAAGTAGACACCATATAGATAGATTAACCCTACACTCCTTTTAATATCGCAAGACATGTCCACCAGCCACTAGGGGTCTACTACTAGAGGAGAGAGAGAGAGAGACGGTATGGTGTAATGAGGGGATTTCTTAGAGGGTGAGCACACAAACAACAAAAAAGCACAAATCATACACACACACCCTCCATCCTCTCTGCTCTCGCCAGTCCAATCCATCCCTACTAGTGTCTGTGGGTCGTTTTACAGCGGTCTTGAAACTGAGCCGTGAGCCTGAATGAAATGCTTCACACACACACTCATCTGTCACGAGAGAGACGGCCGAGCAGCCAGCCGAGTCGGAGCGACCGGGCGGGCGGGAGGAGTGTGTGTCAGGGAAGGGTGTGTGTGTGTGTGTGTGTGTGTGAGCAGGGGGAACTGTGGGGAGACGAGGAGAGACAAAACAGCAGGGAGGGAGAGGCTTTGTGGATCGGCAGACCATGACCAGCAGCCACACACACACACACACACACACACACACAGCGAGAAAGAGCCCAGCGTTAGCATGGTGGGAGGGCCCAGGTGACATTTCATTCAGTGTCACGCATCCCACTCGCTCTGATCAGAGCAGACAACATACCCAAATACAACACCAGCAGGACCAACAGCAAAACAACAACCACCTAGGGGTTCTTTTCAATCCTAATCGCTGAAGCGTTACAGATTTCGTGATAGAAATGGAAAGGTAATTTACAATTGAGCCGACATATGCAGCGTTTACCGTCTCCGCCAACTTGGGAACATTGCCTTTAATTTTCAAATTGGGCTTTAGCGCTGAATTTCCGCGATACAGATTGAATAGAGCCCTAGGTCTCTGTCTAGCACTACACACAAGTTACCACAACAATGCTTCATACTAACCATTCAGAATTCTAAGACATGGTTCTGTAGACCAGCAGCAACAACAGACTGCATAGGTCTGTCACCACAACAATGTCTACACTACCATTTATAACAATAAGACTTGGTTGTCTTTAGTCATAGAAACAACACACAGGAATCTGACTGTCGTGTCTCTACAACAATGCTCTATACTACTAACCATTCATAATGATTACATTGTTTTGTAATTAGTCATCATTTGCAGATGTCAAGTGCAGCTGGGTTTGGATGAAAATGTGGGGATGGACCGCCGCGCTGACGGACAGAAAATATGTCAATCCAAGTCTTGAGAAATAAAAAATCCCCCTCCAACCCCATCAAAGATCGTGTCCAGGTCCTGTGCTTACATGAAAGAAATGGCTCTAAATGGTAAACACATGTGGACTGGTCTGTGTTTGGGCTAAAATGGCTGAACATTGAACATGATACGACAGCACTTGAGTTAATCTTTCCACTGAGAAACCGCATCAGGGTGTTTACACTGGAGCCTAGTGTACACTGTGTGTGTGTGTGTGTGTGTGTGTGTGTGTGTGTGTGTGTGTCCAGAGATGAAGCTGGGACTGACTGTTCCCTAGAGTGGTACAGTGTGTGTGAGAGAGACAGCTTGATGAAGGAGAAGGGTGTTATTCAAGCCTAATGAATCCATCTGCATTCAGGGGGCAGTCTTCTTCCAGGCGCAGACAGGAGCAAACGACCGCCAACCTGCGAGCAGAGAGACACTCTGGAGGCTGGGGCTCACTCCTCCGGAACAGACAGATGTAAACGATCAAGGAAAGCTTGAAGTGGATGGAATAAATGGGGGGGACTGGGACGGATTTGACTAAGAATCGAGGGATTCTTTCCTAACAACAAACAGAGGTTTGTGGCTATGGACTGCAGCATAGAAGCAGTTTTTCCCCACTGTATGTAGACTGTCCTGGACATCCTTTACAGTGGCACTGCACAATGAGGTTGATGCCTACTGCGCCGGTGTAACTGACGCTTTATGATAATACTATTGTCTCTTTGATCATTCCTCTGCCCAGCAGTAGGTAGGTCGCCTAGTGTCTGCTAGAAGCCAGGCTCTGACTGGCATGGAGGATGGATGTGAAGGATTACCATGGTGTCCTCAGAGCTCCAGGGAAGAGGGATCTGGTATCCTAGCAGCCTTTCTGTGACCTGTCACCCAGCACATCCTGAGGGGAGGAGCGGGGAGGGAGGAGGGTGGCTCTCAGGCCAGTCATTATGATAATGGTTTAGATGAGGTTGTGGAGTTAGGGGGACATCAAGTGGCCAAGAGGCTTCATTGCGAAACTCAGGTAATTTTGGCTGGATTACATTTAAAATGTTCCACAATCAATGGGAATAATATATGAAGTTTGTATTAAAAGTTGTAATGTTCAGAAGCTTCCTAGCCATTGTGTAGCAGCTACTTCCCCACACAAACATGTCATTAACAGAAAACGTCCACAACTATCTAATTCATTTCATAATTTATTCAACCCATCGATTCTGAAAAATCTATAAAACTGCATCCATTGATACTCTTCAAGTACAAACCGATAAACCGCAATGTCCAGTCTCTTGTATTAGTAAGTAGGTCAGTGTTTCAATTTGAAGGCAGTGTGTGCTGTGTGGAGTTGGGAGGGGGACCAATATCTACTATTCCTTCCCTTCTCTCATTTAGATGGACACTGATAGGTGAAAGCTTGACACCATCTTGCTTTCACCAATAAATGGTCCTTACAGAGCAGTGATCTGAGAGACAAGGCGAGAAGAGTAATCAATGTTACAGTATATGGATAATGCTGTTGGTAGTAGATCTCCACTTCGGCTAGAAGGTCACTGTGAGGAGGAGGAAGAGGAGGAGGTGAAGGCCTTCAGTAACAGATCAGCCGCCAGGCCCGGTGATATAGCTCCCCTGGTGACCCTGTCCTCTAGCTTGGGTAGCTCCCCCCTGACGGCAGGGTGTTCCTGGAAGTGCCTTAGGACATTCTCCTTGATCAGGCTCCACATCCACACCTTGTGCTGGGCCCTACGTTTGGTCTGGAAGTCCCCGCTGGACAGGGTGGCTGAGCGGAACGCCTCCATCTTACCCCACAGCTCTGGTACGCCCTCGCCTGTCTGGGATGACACACGCACTACCTGGTGGGGAGAACCATACACACAGACACAACCAGCATATATGGTTAGGGACCAGTAAGCGCACACACACACACACACACACACACACAGCATGTTCTACTATCCTTGTGGGGACCTCAAATGTATTTCCATGCAAAAACCTATTTTCCCTAACCCTTACCCTAACCTTAACCCTATGCTTAAAATACCCTTCGTCCTTTTGGGATTTCCGGTACCCACGAAGATAGTAACACAAGCCCACACACACAGTGCATACAGACATACACTGGCAGACACTCTCACATACAGCACCAGTCAAAGGTTTGGGCACACCTACTCATTCAAGGGTTTTTCTTTATTTTTACTATTTTCTACATTGTAGAATAATAGTGAAAACATCAAAACGATGAAATAACACATGGAATCATGTAGTAACCCAAAAAGTGTTAAACAAATCAAAATATATTTTATATTTGAGATTCTTCAAATAGCCACCCTTTGCCTTGATGACAGCTGTGCACACGCTTGGCATTCTCTCAACCAGCTTCACCTGGAATGCTTTTCCAACAGTCTTGAAGGAGTTCCCACATATGCTTAGCACTTGTTGGCTGCTTTTCCTTCACCCTGCCGTCCGACTCATCCCAAACCATCTCAATTGGGTTGAGGTCGGGGGATTGTGGAGGCCAGGTCATCTGATGCAGCACTCCATCATTCTCCTTCTTGGTAAAATTGCCCTTACACAGCCTGGAGGTGTGTTGGGTCATTGTCCTGTTGAAAAACAAATGATAGTCCCACTAAGCCCAAACCAGATGGGATGGCGTATTGCTGCAGAATGATGTGGTAGCCATGCTGGTTAAGTGTGCCTTGAATTCTAAATAAATCACAGACAGTGTCACCAGCAAAGCACCCCCACACCATAACACCTCCTCCTCCATGCTTTACGGTGGGAAATACACATGCCGAGATCATCCGTTCAACCACCCCACGTCCTAAAGACACAGCGTTTGGAACCAAACTAATGTCCATTGCTCGTGTTTCTTGGCCCAAGCAGGTCTCTTCTTCTTATTGGTGTCCTTTAGTAGTGGTTTCTTTGCAGCAATTCGACCATGAAGGCCTGATTCCCACAGTCTCTTCTGAACAGTTGATGTTGAGATGTGTCTGTGACTTGAACTCTGTGAAGCATTTATTTGGGTTGCAATTACTGAGGCTGGTAACTCTAATGAACTTATCTTCTGCAGCAGAGGTAACTCTGGGTCTTCCATTCCTGTGGTGGTCCTCATGAGAGCCAGTTTCATCATAGCGCTTGATGGTTTTTACGACTGCACTTGAGGAAAAGTTCAAAGTTCTTGAAATGTTCTGTATTGACTGACCTTCTAGTCTTAAAGTAATGATGGACTGTCGTTTCTCTTTGCTTATTTGAGGTGTTTTGCCATAATATGGACTTTGTCTTTTACCAAATAGGGCTATCTTCTGTATACCCCCCCCCCCCTACCTTGTAACAACACAACTGATTGGCTCAAATGCATTAAGAAGGAAAGAAATTCCACAAATTAACTTTTAAGAAGGTACACCTGTTAATTGAAATGCATTCCAGGTGACTACTTCACGAAGCTGGTTGAGAGAATGCCAAGAGTGTGCAAAGCTGTCATCAAGGCAAAGGGTGGCTATTTGAAGAATTTGAAATATAACATATAATTGTATTAGTTTAACACTTTTTGGGTTACTACATGATTCCATATGTGTTATTTCATAGTTTTGATGTCTTCACTATTATTCTATAATGTAAAAATAAAGAAAAACCCTTGAATGAGTAGGTGTGTCCAAACTTTTGACTGGTAGTGTATATGAACACACACAAGCACGCACGAACACGCGAATGCACGCACACACACGTGTGGACCCCCATGTAGTTGGTAATCAATCCCCCACACGCCCATGCAGGCACAGTAACACACCACAGATATCTCACACCCAGTGGGGTCTCTGTATTCACATATTCACCTCAGGCCTGTTCAGACAACACCAGTGATTTAAGGACTAAACAACTCAGTATTGACCAGTGCTTGAATGAGAGTGACGGCACTACAAAAAGGAAACTGTTAAGTCATATCTCAATGGTACAATGATATAGGGGTCATTCTATAGTACAACACACTATCAAGCTGTATTATATCTTGTCATTTCTAATTGGTCTAGTTACAATTCAAGTGTGCCAATAGACATGGTGAACTACTGTAGAAATGTCTTACAAAGTTACAGTCAAAATGATTAATCTGCTAGAAGGGAGCCTTCCAAAGTGCCATCTCCCCTTAACCTAATATTGAGATCTGGCAGAGGAGGAATCATGTGGAGACCCATTAAAAATCACTGTGGTGGAGATCTCCTGTCCTGAAGTAAGTGTTGCTGCCTCTGGTACTAGTGGAGAGAGGAACAGGGCCAGAGAGCGAGAGAGAGAGAGAAATTGAGACAGAAAAAGAGAGTTGAGATGGAGAGAAAGAGGTGGAGAGAAAAATGGAGACAGAAAAACAGAGAGAGAGAGCGAGACCGAGAGACAGAGAAAGAGAACCAGAGAGCGAGACAGGTCTGGGAGCCTTTTATCTGAGTGGGTGGGCTGCTAATCAGGAAAATACATGACACAGCAGCTCTGTATTCAGAGTGGGGAGGTAGAGGAAGGGTGGGTGGGGAGGTAGAGGAAGGGTGTGTGGGTGGCGGTAGGGGACTTTGGCAGGGTGCCAGGTGGGCAGATGCTGCATTGGGCCGCGGTCGGTCTGAGACAAAGAGACAAAGAGACAACGCTAGCCCAGGGTGGGGAGGCATGCAGAGAGCGCCCTCTCCCCACCCCCGGAACACTGCGACAGACTAGAGTGCCCTGATGATGACATCACATTATCCCCCTCCCCCGGGTCAGCTGACCTCGTTGTGCAGTGGGACGGCCTGTCGGCTCTGGTGATGTGGGTGCGCGCGCGGAGAGTTATGGGCGCCAAAAAAGGATTATCAGTGGAAATGTAACACATCTCTCCAATAGAGGAAATGAGGAAAAATATCAGGTTCCAACACCATGTTGCCTGGAGTTCTATTCCCCAGGTAACAGGTAACATGGATTATGTCATGTTTTGCAATTTTTTGTCACATGCATTTTTGTAGGTATGCATTTATTGATCATTTTGGGGTTTTATTTCTTAATTCTGTGCGAATGAAAGTATGAGCATAAACACACATAACCCAAAACTAACCACGTTCCTGGTCTTGGACTTCTTCCTGAGCAGCTATTTGAAGCACTTTTATATACGTTTTACCCCTTCCTACTACCCCTCAGACAAAAAACATTAAACCCAATACTACCCACCTTAGGGTTCCAGGACTTTGATTTCTTCCTGAGCAGTTTCAGAGCACTGGTGTACTCTGCCTGGATTCTCCTGGCTGGAATTAACAGGTCTCCGTCTGCTTTAGTGACCACCACCAGGTCTGCCATCTCTATGATGCCTCGCTTAATGCCCTGGCAATAGAGAAGACACACACAGATTCAGATTCAGTACCCTGCCCTGAACTTTAGAAACTGTCACTAGACGGCTACCACCCGGTTACTCTACCCTGCACCTTAGAGGCTGCTGCCCTATGTACATAGTCATGGAACACTGGTCACTTTAACAATGGAACACTGGTCACATTAATAATGGAACACTGGTCACTTTAATAATGTTTACATACTGTTTTACCCATTTCATATGTATATACTGTATTCTAGTCAAGGCCATCCTCTTTAACTATTGTTGTACGTATACTATTCTTCAGATATACTAGATATTCTATCCATATAGTGTCTATACATCACATCACAGGAGGCTGCTGAGGGGAGAACGGCTCATAATAATGGCCGGAACGGAGCAAATGGAAGCCATGTGTGTGATGTAATTGAGCCCAATCCACCTATTATGCTCCAGTCATTACCATGAACCCGTTCTCCCCAATTAAGGTGCCACCAACCTCCTGTGCATCACACACATATATATATATTTATACTCCGGACTCCGACATTTCTCATCCTAATATTTCTTAATTCCATTCTTTTACTTTTAGATTTGTGTGTATTGTTGTGTATTGTTAGATATTACTGTACTGTTGGAGCTAGAAATACAAGCATTTCGCTACACCCGCAATAACATGTGCTAAATATGTGTATGTGACCAATACAATTTGATTTGATTTGAATCAACTTTATTGATTTCCAGAGGGGAAATTGGATGTAAATCTTATGTCTATATATCTAAACTGATTGATGGACAGTCACAGTCTGTGATCCTGTTTGAATCCTTAAAAATGCATCCTGAGAAAGGATAAGTGAAGACAACAGGGTGGAAAGAAACCATTTTGTTTCTTTTCCAAATATGAAAGGAGCGAGGAAACAGGGATGCACTTTAAAGAGTTGAACTAAGCTCATGAGACATTTATATTAATCAAGAATCAATGGATATATTATTCATTTAAATGATCAAAAATGTCTGTAAATATCACAGAGTGGTTCTTTAATGGCATTGTAACTGGGGAGTGTGATGGTGATGGTGGTGCAGCCTGTCTGACCTGTAGTTCATCGCCCCCTGCTGGTGGGATCAGCAACACAAACATGTCCACCATGTCAGCCACTGCAAACTCTGACTGGCCCACACCTGAGGACACAACACACAATGAAACTAAGTATTTATGAAACGCTAGGAATTTTCTTCATAAACTTTATCAGCTATGTTATGTAATCTCATCATTTTCTTCTTCATACCATTCAGACTTTATAAACCATGTGATGTGAAAGATGCAAAGCATGAATCACAGTGAGACTAAATCTGGTTCAATAAAAACTGTGCAGGTGGCCTATCGCAGGTGAAGATTTGTTCCTTTTGAGGCTTTTAAACAGTCAACTGATCTGTTGGGTTCCTCACCTACAGTTTCTACCAGAACGATGTCGTAGCCGCCCCCCTCACAGAGTACTATGGCCTCATTGGTGGTCCTGGTGACTCCCCCCAGTGTTCCAGAGGTAGGGGAGGGTCTGATGAAAGCGCTCATGTCTCTGGAGAGCTCAGTCATACGAGTCTTGTCACCCATCAGAGACCCTGGAGAGAGGGGAGGATTTACGCGTAACACCAACACAAAGTATAAAAGTGGTAGTATATCAGTATAGCTATCAATATTTAATAATAATCCTTTGCCTAGTTTGAAGAAGATATATGTGAGGTACACAGGAGGCTGCTGAGGGGAGAACGGCTCATAATAATGGCCGGAACGGAGCAAATGGAATGGCATCAAACACCTGGAAACCATGTGTTTGATACCATTCCACAAACTCCGCTCCAGTCATTAACAGAAGCCCGTTCTCCCCAATTAAGGTGCCACCAACCTCTTGTGGTGAGGAAACTATATTGAACAACATTGCATAAGGAGGAATAGTTATGTAAATGTTTCCAAAATCTCATATATTACGGTGTAAGAATCTGTCTGGCATTACAACGCATTCTAACGGACCCATTTAACCCAATACATATAGTCCACAACACTGATGAAATACATTTTACATTACATTTTAGTCATTTAGCAGACGCTCTTATCCAGAGCGACTTACAGTTAGTGAGTGCATACATTATTTTTTATACTGGCCCCCCGTGGGAATCGAACCCACAACCCTGGCGTTGCAAACGCCATGCTCTACCAACTGAGCTACATCCCTGCCGGCCATTCCCTCCCCTACCCTGGACGACGCTGGGCCAATTGTGCGCCGCCCCATGGAATACCATTCACAAACATAGCAATGAATATGTAGAATGATGTAGAGACATACCTCCTGTGGTGCAGGATGAGGGGTCGACAGCCAGAACCGAGACTTTATGTCCTTGTCCTGTGAGCATCTTCCCCACCACCTCAATGAAGGTGGACTTCCCAGCTCCGGGTGGGCCAGACAGACCTACAGACAGACAGACAGACAGACGTCACCTCACAGAGAACAAACAGGCTCGCACATCAAGCCCACACTCTTCTCCATATGGTCTTTTAAGACTTAGCTACCTCAATTGTATGAATAGAAAAATCTTCAATAAAAAGCTCACATTGCATCCCACCAATTCAAGTAGTCCAACTCTAAGCAAGCCACTAGTTCAGATGTTTAAATGTTCACATATTATTAGGTCTGTGTGCATTCTGTGTACTGGGCATAGACACAACAATGTTGAACATAACAAATCCACATACTAACCCACTCTGAAGGCCAGGGGTTTCCCTCCATTCTGTTTCTCCTGCTCCTTCCTGTAGGCCAGTACTCTCTGCAGCAGGACCTGGGCCAGCTCTTTCTTCCTGGGGTGCTGGGTCTCCACCAGGGTAATGGACTCAGCCAGACTGGCCCGCTGACCTGAGATTAGTCCTTTATACAGTTTATTCAACAGCCTCTGCTCTGGTGGACTCAGCTCCTTGATATGGCTTAGGGTGGATTCCACACACATACTCCGGATGTGTTGGGAGTTAAGCCCAGGGAAAGAGGGGGTACGAGTGCAGGATGGTGGGGCTAGACGGTGGAGGAGGCATCGGCCCCATGTTGGGGTGACAGTTCGTAAGAGGGAGAGGGAGGACAAGCGGTGGAGGAGAGGAAAGAGTACTGAGGGTCCCATGGTTGTCTGGCACTGGTCCCTTTTCTAGGGGAGAGAGTCTGTTAATGATGTAACGTTAGAGGACACTATGATAAACAGGCATTCAATAGAGATTTGTGACACATTTCAGTTAATTCAACAAGGCAGAACAAAAACTAGGCTGTTGCTGATTATTCTATGACACTCACTTTGGGCTATTTAGACTGTTTGAGGTTGTGGCATTCAAGAGCAAATACTGCCAGTAGAAACGAATGGACATATGCATATATACATACATACACCGGTAACTGACTGACAAGTAGCCATAGCTAAACAGTTACAAAACGTGTACATACAATGGAGAACTCACCTTAATAGCTAGCTATTTGTACATGAATCTGTTTAGTTCGTCTTTGCTGTTGTCCTCTACTATTGCTCCAAACACTTTCATAACTGAGTATTAATTTAGGAATAAAGAAAATAAGGAGAATTCTGTCATTTGCTACTCAAAAGCAATCACACGTTGACCTACCAGTGTTTTGGTCGTCACTAGTTACCGCTGTCACAAAGTCATAAACCCCGCCCATTTCTACAATTGATCTTCTTAACATTTGATATTAAACCTAACCCTAACCTTAACCCTAACCTTAGCCACACTGCTAACCTTATGCCTAGCCATAACCTTCAATTAAGACCAAAAAGCTAATTTTAGTTTTCATAAATCTTTACGCTATGGCCAATTTTGACTTCGTGGCTGTGCTATCTAGTGAAACCCAGTGGGGTCTTGCTTTTTTGCTTCGTTCACTTCCTACTTCCTGTGACGTAAAACACCGCCCCTTTCTAGAATAAATAGTACTACTCAAGGCCACGCGGTGGTGGCATTTATCTACGGATAGATAACTCTGGCACAATTTTGCATGTTAGGCTGAATGAATTTTTCAATTTTCAGCCATTATGGCCATACAATTTCAAGTTAGTGTCTTGAGTTGTAATACTTTTGTGGGTGCTTATACAGTATTTGTCCTATTTCATACAGGTACACGTGTATTAAAATGCATGTAAATTGAAAATGTGTTTTTTGCATATCCCACTCCCCAAGGGTAATCCGAAAATGTTTCCACCTAAAGGCCTTGCAACAGGTATGCTTCCAATACCATGACCTCAGTCTTTATCAGAGGAGGCTGGTAAGAGGAGCTATAGGAGGACAGACTCATTGTAATGCATGGAATGGAATAAATGGAACGGAGTCAAACGTGGTTTCCATGGGTGTGTTCGTAAATTCAATCTGGAGTGCCAGAGTGCGCTCAGAGTGTGCTCTGGGTGTTCGTAAATTCAGAACATTGTCAGTTTGTAAATTCAGAGCGTGTCGCTCTCGGAGCGTTCCGAGCTCACACTGGACGCTCTGGCCGAGGAGTAGGGTTGATCCGAGCTTTCTGACCTCACAACGGCAGTCAAGCACCCAAGCTAATCGGCTAACGTTGGCTAGCTTGCTAGCTACTTCCAGACACAAATGAGAGAACACCTCACTCTGACCATTTTATTCGCCCTAGCTGAGCTGGTTAGTTGTTTTCATGTTATCCAGAGTGTTGGTGACTGTAACTGTGCTGCTGGCAACAATTTAATTATACTTTTTTACTGACATTGAGCATTCGTAAATTCATCAGTTATTCGGCGCTCTGGCACACTCAGACGAGAGTGCTCTGAAATCGGAGTAGATAGCCAGAGCGAATTTACGAACGCACCCCATGTGTTAGATGTGTTGTATACCGTTCCATTTATTCCATTCCAGCCATTACAATGAGCCTGTCCTCCTATAGCTCCTCCCATCAGCCTCCATTGGTCTATATCTGGTCAGAGGACTCCTCTATCCACACCCTCCACATTGTTACAACATTTGAGAGGCGCACAGCGATGCGGTACAGCGCTCAATTTGACCTCTGCGCGCCTCTGAAGGCTCCGCGATTGCGCAACACCATCCATACGGTGCCTCCGCCCACATTTTCGGATCAAGCATAAAATGGCACTTATGCAATGTTTATACTTAACTTTCTTGAGCTTCAACTTGACTCCGATATGTAGAGTATGATACCAACATTACACGTGTTCACATCCAAGGACATTAACTTTCTTTTATTCTTAAAAATGAAAACAATAAGAGGCCATAGGTAACGAAACAACTTTATTTATTGAATCTTCCAGTAGAGACTTGATATTCATGGAATAAAACTGCTTTCTGGGAGTACTACTCAGCAAAAACAGCACAAAGAAAAAACAAAACAAAAAACAAAAAGAAAAGGCAACAATCCGTGAAAGTGCAGATAACAAGAAACAACAAGAAAACATGTTCAAAAAAATACAAAAATCATTACAACATTTTAAAAGCAGATGGGATTTTCTAAGCCTAAAATAATTGAAAGGCAAAAACAGTCTGCATTTTTATATTACGATAAAATCATGTATTAGGGCCATCAGTAACTTACTCAGCAGTGAAATGAATACCTTTTTTCAGTCAACAACTTCTGAAGGATGCCCAAATGTAATAGGCCTAGGCAAAACATTTTTACATTGTTTTATTATTAACTGTCTTTTAGTAAGTTTTGCTGAGTCGATGCAATCAGAGAATGTATCAGAAGAGATATATCCTCAATAGAGTACCACAGTATGAATCACAATACCCATAAAGCCTAGCGAACAAACAGGGAAGTGATTGCAATTGTTTTTCCACCATACATTTTTCCCATAGGGGATTTTTTGAAACACTTCAAATAAGGGCTGTGTTTCGTGAAGGCTTACCCTGGCGTGACGTTTTGATAAATATGTAAATCTCTCTAGGACAAGGTGACTTTTATCAATATATTCGCCCCCCAAAAATGAAATGCTAATTAGCTACTAATGTGGCTATCATAAAGAACTACAAATGCCATGATGATCTGGACGAGACTGCCGAATCAAGGCAAAGATAAGAATCTCTGGATGAACTATCTAATGTTTGCTATAGTAGTAATGAATAAATTGGTTACATTTCTTTAAATAAACAATTCTGTGAACTGTCTTGTGCAAGTTTTAAATTGACACAATACCTGTTAGCAAAGGTGTCAGCTAGAGATGACGTGCAGGAGCTTGCAGGGATTTGTAGTTTTGCATGATGTCTACTTTGATGCTAATTAGCATTTTCGAATCTGAGAGTAAATAGAGCCGAATATACTGATAAAAGTCACCTTGTCAGAGAGAGATTTACATGGTTATCAAAAACGTCACGCCAGAGTAAGCCTACACGAAACACAGCCCTTATTTTAAGTGTTTCTAAAATCCCTATGGGAAAATGAATGGTGGAAAAACTATTGGAACCATTTCCCTGTTAGACCGCTAGGTTTTATGGGTATTATGACACCTCCACTGTTGGGCTCTATGTGACTCCACTGTTGGGCTCTATGTGACTCTACGATTGATACATTTCTTTTTTTGCTGTACCATGCACAGCTAGGGACAAACTGAACTATCCTACGCTTGTGCCCATCTCTGTCTCTGCTTAGTGTCATTCTTCAGTCACTACCTAAACAAGCCAAACTGTGATTTGCTACACTAAACCAAACTACGCTTTGCAAAACCGACTGCACAGCACTTTACTCTAATGGTGAGTATGCCTAAAACGCGATTAAAATCGTTTAATTCAGTTGTAACACGAGTGTAACACAAGAAGAGCAATATTTATTTATGTACAACTTATTTTATCTTACGCCCTGTAAGCACAATCCCACAATGCCCACCTCACTCTCCCGCCCCGCTCCCACTGATGCCCTTTCCTGATTTCTCATCATGATAGGGTTTGTAAATAATCTAAAGGGATTTTGTATAGGGGTCTTTTTCTTTAACTTTTTTTATTTGCCTAAACCTAAAAAAAGAGCAACATTTTAGGGTTCTGGGGGAGACATTTGTATTTACGGACCTCAGTATCTTCATACGTTCTAAATATGTTTCACAAGAAACATAATATTTTTACATTTATATACTTTTTTCAGCGATATTGGTTGTCTTCCAATCCTTCCAATTCTGTACACGTTTATTATTGTTGTAACAACCCATGAAACTGGCTGTATGGGTTTCCAATGGAAAACTGCCGGAACAAGATCAGGGACCAATATTCACGTCTCAGAGTGCTGATCTATGATCCGGTCCCCCCCGTCCATATAAACATATTCATTATGATCTAAAAGGCCAAACTGATCCTAGATCAGACTCTTTCTGAATATGGGCCCCAGATGAGGAGGATACTTTGCGTAGTGATGAATTGATGATTCGTTTATAATGATCTGAGTCTGATTGATAATTATTACAGTTGGTCACAAAGATCAAGTATCTTCCAGATGCTTCTATCTCGCCTTGCCCCCACCATGCCAATCTGCAATGTGCCCAATTTCAGATATGATCCTTCAAGTAGAGTACAGTCATGGTCAAAGGTTTTGAGAATGACACAAGTATTGGTCTTCACAAAGTTCGCTGCTTCAGTGTTATGAGATATTTTTGTCAGATGTTACTATAGCATACTGAAGTATAATTACAAGCATTCCACAAGTATCAAAGGCTTTTATTGACAATTACATTAACTTTATGCAAAGAGTCAATATGTGCAGTGTTGACCCTTCTTTTTCAAGACCTCTGCAATCCGCACTGGCATGCTGTCAATTAACTTCTGGGCCACATCCTGACTGATGGCAGCCCATTCTTGCATAATCAATGCTTGGAGTTTGTCAGAATTTGTGGGTTTTTGTTTGTTCACCTGCCTCTTGAGGATTGACCACAAGTTCTCAATGGGATTAAGGTCTGGGGAGTTTCCTGGCCATGGACCCAAAATGTCGATGTTTTGTTCCCCAAGCCACTTAGTTATCATTTTTGCCTTATGGCAAGGTGCTCCATCATGCTAGAAAAGGCATTGGTCGTCACCAAACTGTTCTTGGATGGTTGGGAGAAGTTGCTCTCGGACGATGTGTTGGTACCATTCTTTATTAATGGATGTGTTCTTAGGCAAAAATGTGAGTGAGCCTACTCCCTTGGCTGAGAAGCAACCCCACACATGAATGGTCTCAGGATGCTTTACTGTTGGCATGACACAGGACTGATGGTAGCGCTCACCTTGTCTTCTCCGGACAAGGTGTTTTCCGGATGCCCCAAACAATCGGAAAGGGGATTCATCAGAGAAAATGACTTTACCCCAGTCCTCAGCAGTCCAATCCCTGTACCTTTTGCAGAATATCAGTCTGTCCCTGATGTTTTTCCTGGAGAGAAGTGGCTTCTTTGCTGCCCTTCTTGACACCAGGCCATCCTCCAAAAGTCTTTGCCTCACTGTGCGTGCAGATGCACTCACACCTGCCTGCTGCCATTCCTGAGCAAGCTCTGCACTGGTGGTGCCCCGATCCAGCAGCTGAATCAACTTTAGGAGACGGTCCTGGCACTTGCTGGACTTTCTTGGGCGCCCTGACGCCTTCTTCACAACAATTGAACCTCTCTCCTTGAAGTTCTTGATGATCCGATAAATGGTTGATTTAGGTGCAATCTTACTAGCAGCAATATCCTTGCCTGTGAAGCCCTTTTTGTGCAAAGCAATGATGACGGCACGTGTTTCCTTGCAGGTATCCATGGTTAACAGAGGAAGAACAATGATTTCAAGCACCACTCTCCTTTTAAAGCTTCCAGTCTGTTATTCTAACTCAATCAGCATGACAGAGTGATCTCCAGCCTTGTCCTCGTCAACACTCTCACCTGTGTTAATGAGAGAATCACTGACATGATGGCAGCTGGTCCTTTTATGGCAGGGCTGAAATGCATTGGAAATGTTTTTTGGGGATTAAGTTCATTTTCATGGCAAAGAGGGACTTTGCAATTAATTGCAATTCATCTGATCACTCTTCATGACATTCTGGAGTATATGCAAATTGCATTCATCATCACTGAGGCAGCTGACTTTGTGAAAATTAGTATTTGTGTCATTCTTAAAACTTTTGACCACGTCTGTACAAACCCACCAGGGTTGGGGTCAATTCCATTTCAATTCAGTCAATCCAGTAAATAAATTCCAATTTTAATTCAGATTATCTTAATATTCCTGTAAAGTGGTTATCCCACTGGCTATAAGGTGAATGCACCAATTTGTAAGTCGCTCTGGATAAGAGCGTCTGCTAAATGACGTAAATGTAAATGTAAATGTACTTCCTGAATTGACTGACTTCAATTGGAATTGACCCCAACCCTGAAACCCACCCATCCCACCCCTCCCACCCCTCCACTGGAACCTAAATGCTGGGTTTGGACAGCCCTGGGGCCTGGGGACAGTTGAGTCTAGGACACGGAGGAGATGGGGTTGTGGGGGGAGCCCATCTGAGTGAGCACTTTGTCCAGCCACTGCAGAGGGCCGTGCAGGTGGATCTCAATCCAGCAGGGGGTGCTGGTCACGTCCTGACGGTGGTACTCTGCACCCCAGCCCTGGGAGAGCAAGAGGAAGAGAGCTATTCTCTTTAGGGACAGGTATCATCAACATGGCTCTTTCTCTATCTTATTTCCTTGATTCTTTGAATCCTCTCGTCTTCATCTCAAAGCATAAGATTAGCCCCTGACCTCACCTCCTTCACACTGAACCATTTAACATTATATTCTCTATATTATGGGATGTATGTCTATGACGGTTACCTTGACGAAGCTCATGCGGATGGTGCACATCTTGGTCAGCTCGTAGACAGCCTCAAACCCGTGGTTGACGGACTGTGCCAGCAGCTCAGCAAACTCCTGGTTGTTGAAGATCTTGAGGCTGCAGCCGCTGGGGATCTTACAGACGGTGGTGGGGTGGAAGCCGTGGTGGTAGTTACAGTTACGACTCTGGACGAAGATGCTGCTGTCACTCAGACATTCAGCGTACACTTCACCACCCACATAGTACAGGTGGACTCCTGGGGAGAGGGGAAGAGAGGGTTACATGGGAGTAGAATGGAGTACAGTAGAGTACAGTAGTACAGGTGGACTCCTGGGGAGAGGGGAAGAGAGGGTTACATGGGACTAGAATGGAGTAGAGTACAGTACAGTAGTACAGGTGGACTCCTGGGGAGAGGGGAAGAGAGGGTTACATGAGACTAGAATGGAGTAGAGTAGAGTAGTACAGGTGGACTCCTGGGGAGAGGGGAAGAGAGGGTTACAAGGGACTAGAATGGAGTAGAGTAGAGTAGTACAGGTGGACTCCTGGGGAGAGGGGAAGAGAGGGTTACATGGGACTAGAATGTAGTAGTGTAGAGTACAGTAGAGTAGAACTTACTTGGATTCTTAATTGATCCATTAAAATGCTGACACAATTATTTATGATTGGACTGCACTACTCCTGTTTAGCCACAGTCCATAGCCCATAACACATTGACACTAACAATTGAACCAGTCCTGTGGACAGTGTGTCCAGGGCCTTATATTTGGGAAAATATAAGGCAATATAAGAGTGTTCCCATCCATGGCCATTTTTACCTTTGCCAATGTGTCGCCGGGTGTTCTCTATGGTTGAGTTGCGGTTGACGTTGGAGAGGAGGCCCAGGCAGAAGCGGTTGCGGTTGTTGGACGGGTCGGTGAAGCCGTCGACCAGGACGCTGGTAGAGTTGGCCTGGAACGCCTCTCCCACCCGGTTGTTCAACTCGTAGTACACTATGGAGCACCAGTGTTTAGGTTCCTCGTAGGCCACCGGCTGAACATCTAGGACAAAGGGAGGAGAGGACACAGGGATGAGAGGAGAGGAGAGAGGGATGAGAGGAGGAGGTTGTTCAGCTCATAGTACTCTATGGAGCACCAGTGTTTTGCCTCCTCGTAGACCACCGGCTGCACATCTGTACAGGATGTCAAACACACACAGAAAGGGTGAGATGTGTGTATGATCAGACACACACGCAGGCACGCACACACACACACAGTGAGACATTTATACACACACGCACGCGCATGCACGCGCAGATTGACTGGAGTGGCTTATGAGCATCAGGCCTTTTGTTCTGTGTTCTGATAAAGTTCAAGTCTGTCTGTCTGTCTGTCTAGTCTGACTATCAGCTGCAGTTTGATATAGCAGATGTTAGGCTTTCATCTCCAACTTCCTTTACTAGGATTAGAGAAAAAAATGGTGTTGTGTATGTTGATGACAAACGTGGAAAATGTGTCTGAAATGTGTGGTATGTGAAGTAAGTCTAAGTACACAGAAAGCTATAGGTCATGTTTGCATACAACCGAAACAGAAAATCAATGCTGACAAATCCATCCAACCCTAGTAGACTGACTGTGGTCAGTCTGGACAGGGCCAGTCTTGATCAAATACTGTCACTGACTGCAGGCAGTCTGGTCTGGGATCAGTATTTATTGAGTCAAGCAGTCAGTCAATAGACCAAGCCAGTGCCCGCCTGGTGCCCTCTCCCAGTATCTTGGGTGAGCTTTATGCCAGCTGGCCTCCTCTCTCTGAGGGAGGGAGAGTTTATCCAAGCGGCATACTACTCCCTAACTTCCTCTGCTGAGAGTAGTGGCCAGCAGGTGGGTTTGGTCTATGCTTTTCGGCCCACAATGGAAACCTCTCCTACCACTAGCACACTGCACAGGATGCAGCTTGGGGAAGGACAGAAAATTCCCCAATCGCCACTTCCAGGGAGTATTTCTCCACACCCATTGCAATATTCATCTGTGTGGGTGGGGATACTACTGTGACTGGATGCATAACAATTGTATAGGGAGATTGGTAGGGAGATTGGAATACTGGTTTTAGCTAGCGTAAACACTTTGTACAATTCTGTCCAATACCTTGGCTGCTGAAAGTATCCACAGACTTGGTACTGTAGACACTTTAAAATTGCTTCGACTTCAAAAATCAAACACCCCCATGACACATTATCTTTTGCCATGTAAATAGCCTGCATGACTGGTGGCGTACATGGCTTTTGTGTATGCACTGACTGTTCAGATGTGTGATGTGAAGGAATGCCAGATCTCCACAGCAACTAACGATTGACTAAACCACAGTTGAGGTAGGTGGTAGCAAACAAGGTTTTTTTATTTGAAACAAGTGTTTCAGATAAAAAAAAATTGGATGTAATTAGTGAGGCCAATTCTTAACAAGTTCTTAACAAGCTTTCTGTTAATTACCATCGGCAGAGATGACATCAGCCAGAGGTTTTTAAAAGGCCTCGTAAAAACTGCTCTGAGACCAAATTTAATTTGCAGACTCTCTGATCTTTCCTCAGGGTTGCATGTATAGACTGACGCTTTTGTGTTCTTCATACTAAAATCTAAAACCTAATGCCTCAAAATGGTGTGAGATACTCTGCTTTTCTGAAAATGGATACGCGTTAATGCTATTTTTCCTTTTACCCTGCATTAATGATCGTATAAAATTCCCCTTTAATTCTCTTTTAATTGAATATATGAAGGAAATTGTTTTCTAGCTAATCTTTTCCAACCCATGATGTGCAATTTTGAAAGTCATCATATTAATCACCCCTTATTTTAACAGAGGGATTTAGCACCTACATCCGTTTTTCTTACTAGCATTACAACATGCATGAGAACTTAAATGAACACTTCCACAAACCCCAACAACCACAACTACTTTTCAAGTGTTATTTTCAACTACATAGCCTATTAAAACTGGGCTTGATTCACCACGACAAATAAAAAGCAGAGCGTGTCATGGTTGCGTACTTGGTGTTCCCAGAAATCCCTTGCACCTGTAGTACGAGCAGGCGGGGCGCTGACAGCTCTAAGTGGGTGATGTCACAGCTGATTACCTGGCCTGTTGCTGATCTCCAGGGGCAACGCAGGGACCATCATGTTGGTGTCCATGGGCTGGGGGCAGTCCTGAGTCATCCGCTCCTCTGGGGGCATGTAGGCTGGAGGGGGGGTCTCTGGAGGAGGGCAAGGAGATGGGGAGAGAGGGTTAAAACAGAGAGAAAGAAGTCTTCCAACTGTCACCCTATATTGAAATTGACTTACCAGCTTTATCTGTTTTAGAGCCTTTGGTTTACTCCAACATGCTGACAAAAACACCTTCACCTACACCAGGGTTTCCCAAACTCGGTCCTCGGGACCCCAAGGGGGGCAAGTTTTTTTCTTCTTCTCCCTAGCACTACACAGCTGATTCAAATAACCAACAAGATTTAATAATTTGAATCAGCTGTGTAGTGCTATGGCAAAAACAAAAACGTGCACCCCTTGGGGTCCCGAGGACCGAGTTTGGGAAACGCTGACCTACACAGTACAGCGACCAGAATATTCCTGTCATACGACCTTTACTTCCTGTCATCACCTACAGTAAGTCTACTGCTGCTTAGCCTATTCCATTGTTTAGATTGGACCGGCCATTTGCCAAGCACACACATATACACTGAGTGTACAAAACATTAGGAACATCTGCTCTTTCCATGACATAGACTGACCAGGTGAATCCAGGTGAAAGCTATGATCTATGATGAGGTGAAGCTTATTCATGTCACTTGTTAAATTCACTTCAATCAGTGTAGATGAAGGGGAGGAGACAGGTTAAAGAAGGATTTTGAGACAGTTGAGACATGGATTGTGTATGTGTGCCATTCAGAGGGTGAATGGGCAAGACAAAATATTGAAGTGCCTTTGAACAGGGTATGGTAGTAGGTGCCAGGCACACCGGTTTGAGTGTGTCAAGAACTGCAATGCAGCTGGGTTTTTCACATAACAGTTTCCCGTGTGTATCAAGAATGGTCCACCACCCAAAGAACATCCAGCCAACTTGACACAACTGTGCGAAGCATTGGAGTCAACATGGGCCAGCATCCCTGTGGAACGCTTGTGACAACTTGTAAAGTCCATGCCGCGACCAATTGACTCTGTTCTGAGAAAAAGGGTCTGCAACTCACTATTAGGAAGGTGTTCATAATGTTTTGTACACAGTGTAGATACCCAAGAGGGTGATGGCATGATTCAATACATTGTTATCACGCCAAACGTTATTAAAGTTATTAGTGAATTGTACCTGGCATCTGACCTGGCGTCTCACCTGGCATCTGGAATGGGCTGCCTGGGTCAGAGCTGGTGGGGGAGTGGGGGAAGGTGGCACTGCTGCCACTACCAGGGGAGCTGGGGTAGCTGTTCCCCCCAGGGGAGTGTGCCTGTGTCTGGGGGAAGTTCATCTGGGTGTTGGCCTGGGAGAAGGACTCTGGGAAGGTGGCGTTCTGGGGCATGTGGGGCTCGTTCTGGTGCAGAGGGTTGCGGAAGCGTGGTAGCATGCTGTGTTTGGCATTGAACTCGCTATTCCGCGGGACCAACACCGGGGGCAGCACTGAGACAGAGGGGAAAGGAGAGGGGAAAGGAGAGAGGACATCAGGTTCATGTTCAGTTGGCATGAAACAGAAGAAAACGGACTGAAACAGGGAGGGACTACCTGGACTTGCCCAATAAGAAATACATATGTTTGTTTTCTGCTGTTAAATGTTTTAAATGTTTTCTGTTGTGTTCTCTTATGAACACGACCCAAGGTTAGTTACAGTCAGTTTCTGTATCTCTATACTGATTTGAATGGTATGTTATGGCCCAATTCGGCACAAAATGTCTGCCGGGTCTGTTGCACCATTGCATAGATAGACACTATATAACACATTCATAATTGGTGAGGCCAGTTTCCTTTTGAATGAAAGGCACATCCAAATACACTCTTCTCTATAATCAATATTCCAATCATTAAATATTCTAGCCTTTACAACTCTCAGCAGTCCTATTTTTATCATTTAGTTTCATTGAGATGTCCAGAGCCTTTTTAGTTGAATATCTGCTATGGTGCAATGGCTGACCCTGCTAGCAAGGGTATTGGGGGTAGAGAGGGTAAGGGGTTAGCCCTCTCTTTGTGTCCCTAAGCCCCATGAGTCCAGTTAGCGCGCGCGCACACACACACACACACACACACACACACACACACACACACACACACACACACACACACACACACACACACACACACACACACACACAGAGCCAGGATGGACAGAGTTCTTTAATTACAGCATCATAAAAAGCCTCTCTCTTTCTCTCTGTGTCTCTCTCTCTATCCCTCCTCCCTCTCTCTCTCTATTCGCTGTGCACATTTGCAGATGCCCCTGCATTTTTGGAATTGCAGCTTGCAGAGTGTTGGTTTAGCCAGCAGTTTTTGGCCTCTGTACCAGACATTCTGTTCAGAGAAAATATCTCAGAGGTGAGTGAGTCCCTTTATGAAGAATCTATCATTTGGGGGAAAATATTTGTGGCTAATTGGTGATGTGAGGACCATTCAGAGGTATGAGATCAGATATAAACCACTAGAGATCTGTTCCACCGATATCCATAAATAGGTAATAAATATATAATTAAATAATACTGAACTAATAGTGGAACTAAGAGTGTTGTCAATGGTGGCAGGTAGCCTAGCGGTTAAGAGCGTTGGGATAGTAATCTGAAAGGTCACTGGTTCAAATCTCCAAGCTGGCAAGGTGAAAAAATCTGCCGTTCTGCCCTTGAGCAAGGCAGTTAGTTAACCCCCAACAACAACTGCTCCCCAGGTGCTGATTATGTCAATTAATGCAGCCCCCCACACCTCTCTGATTCAGAGGGGTTGGGATAAAAGCGAAAGACACATTTCGGTTGAATGCATTCAGTTGTGCAACTGACTAGGTCTCCCCTTTCCCAATAAAATGCTATAATGAGAAAGATTACTGGTCAAAAGTTGTGTTTTAAATTCTAATTACAGCATATTTTGTTGACAAATTTAGTTTGAACGTTTAAAAAAAGGTTGAGTCTGAACCCTGGCTATTGTTCTATATAAGACTAGTGTCAGGGCGTTTCATGTTATCTGTTCTATCCTGGTGTTACTGCTTTGGGAATAGCTCTGTCTGTGTGTGTGTGTGTGTGTGTGTGTGTGTGTGTGTGTGTGTGTGTGTGTGTGTGTGTGTGTGTGTGTGTGTGTGTGTGGGGGTGTGTGTGTGTGTGTGTGTGTGTGTGTCTGTGTGTGTGTGTGTGTGTGTGTGTCTGTGTGTGTCTGTGTGTGTGTGTGGGTGTGTGTGTGTGGGTGGTGGGGGGAGGTGTGGACAGACAGGTGCTACAGCCCAGTTGTTAAAACAAGTGTGTGAGGCGGGCATCCACTCCTTCCTCCCATTGTGTGTGGCTTCCTGTCCACTTCTTCCTCAGAGAAACACCACGTGTGTGTGTGTGTGTGTATGTGTGTGTGTGTGTGTCTGTGTGTGTGTGTGTGTGTGTGTTCCCCGGCCCGACCGGCCGCACAGAGCACGCCAAAAACAAAGCCCTCATTCTCCCCCGGCTGGAATTTCCTGTTACACACACACGCACGCACACACACACACACACACACACACACACACACACACACACACACACACACACACACACACACACACACACACACACACACACACACACACACACACACACACACACACACACACACACACACACACACACACACACACACACACTGAAACACACTCGCCCCCCTTCCTGTAGCACCCTGTGGACAGCTGTTTCTGTCTAGTCAGCTGGGCCTCATCTTCTGCTTAGCAGACAGACAAAAGAGGACATTTGATGTCCCCTGTCTATTAGGGAAACAAATATCTTTCGGTTTCACACACACACACACACACACACACACACACACACATACATACACATGCACACGCACACATACAGGCACACGCGCACACACGCATAAATACAGTACACGCACGCAAGCACACACACAGCTGAGATTTCTGAGGCATATCAATAGTCTGTGGTGGTGGTTCTTTTCTCATGTGTCTCAGTTCAGACAGATTAGAGCACCTGGCTGACATGGGGAGGATATGAAAGGGGGAACGGGAGAAAAAAGAAGTGAACGTCTGCGGAAACCATGGGAAGGGGAAAGCCACGACGAGAGAAGAGAGAACATACGGCTGATGATAGGGGAGGAACAGGCTGCTGGGGTGGGTATGTTATGGGTTATGTTTAGGGTCATTTGTATGGTTCACCATGAATGGTTCATGTTCAAGAGCGATGTGAAGGTTCATAGGAAAAGTATGGACTATCACAACACATTTTGAAAGGGTATCATAAATCAAACATACAGTAAATGGGAATTAGGCTGGAAAGATCTAGTGGAAAAACATTAGATATATTTACACAAAACATAATAAAAAAGCATATCATCCCTGATGATAATTTTACGTTGACTTTTCAGCACAACATAAAAACCCTCTAGTGCTTCAATGTCCCCCCCCCCCCCCCACTCACCTGGACTGTCCACTCTCTTGTAATGGTACGGGTTGATACAGACGTCCTTCTGCTTGGCGCCAAACGGGTACTCACAGCACTCCAGAGCCTTGAGCTCATGATGAGACTGCAGGTCAGGGCCACCTCCACACCCTGCAGTAGATCACATGGGGTAAGCCCTTCCTGTGGGACACCTGAAGTCTTCCGTCCAGGGAGCGAGGGATGGTGACACAGTTACTGGGCTGACCCGGGCAGCTCAGAGCCCTCTCCAACTCCTCCATCGCTCCCTTCTTCTTCTTCAGTTTCTTCACCAACGCGTCTACGGCTTTCTCCGCCCATTTTTCCTCTTCGTCTCCCTGTTTCCAGCCGAGGAGGCGCTTGACGGCCGGGCTGGTGAAGGAGAACAGAGACGTGACGTTCATGGTGACGTTCGTGTCTGTCGCCTCTTGCGACCGTGGCGTTGTTGGGACGTTACACGTGAGTGTGCAGGGGTGGGTTTTACAATACAGAGATAGTCCACTTGGTGAAGGAAAAAGTTGGAGGTTAAAAGCTGCTGTTCTTTTTTTGGGGGGTGACACTGATTGAGATGGCAGGGTTGCTGGGTAGTCCTCGGTCCTCAAAGCTTCAGGACAGAACTTCTGAACAGGATACCTAGGAGGAGGAAGATGGAGGAGAAGATTAAACCAACGCTAACGAGATCCATAACACTTCTAACATAGACAGACAGACTTCAACAGATTCCCTTCAAGTGGACAGTTGAAGGAAGAGATATCAGTGTTCCCACTAATCCTGCCTGGAAAGCAACTAGCAACCCTCCAAAGGAAACGGAGTGATGCAGTCTATTAGCAGAACAACATTGGCAAGGAGAGAGGGCCAATGATGTCACTGTGTCATGACTTCTGGGAATTGACAGCAGTGGGGTGACAATGAACACCGTCCCACTACAGTCAGCAGCCATTCTCCAGATAACTTCCTGTACACAAGGCCCTGTTACCGTCACATAACCACTCTCAAATGTCACTCAGAGAGATCTCTGTTTCAATATCAACACTAGCAAACTACGTAGAATGAAATCATGTATTGGGCATGCATTCTTGGAAGTATGCTAGAAAGGACATTAGATCATAGAACTCTGCCATATCAATGGGGGCAGTTACATAGAATTATCTGCATTATCCAATAACATTCATTATCCAAATGATTTAGTTGATCAAGAAAATACACATAAAACATAAATAGAATTGGACCAACGAAGCAGAATTGTTAAGCTACAATTTGGCCGAAAATGAAAGTAAACAGAACTTTATTGACTATATGTTCTATAAAACACCCAGCAACAAACAGCTTTAAGTGCAGGAATCAGCTAGCGACATCCAGGCCAATAAAAGAGGAAATGCATGGTGAAATTCAGGATAAATGTGCCCCATTCACTGAGGTCCTCCGACACCAATTCACCAGGAGAAACGAGCCCACTTTCTCCTTCTGGAGTGGAAATAAGAGACCAGGGACTCAATAGTTCATACTCCTTCTGAAGATATCAGCAGTGATGGAAGCAAGTAGCATTTCGGTTGAGGATAGTGTAGCCTACTCACTTTTCAGGTACCCACATAAATCTCTGCTTTATTGTGCATCCATTTCATTGTAAACATTATATATCTATCCACCACGACAAAAATACACACACACACACACACACAAATATCATATTTGTATTACCACTGAGTCAGAGACTAGGCTAGCTCTGTGACATTAAATACAGCAACAGATTAGATTTCCTATTACCAGAAACAAAAACATAATCAACCTTCCTCTCTTTTTTCACCAGTCTGCGATCTTCGCCTTTCACACAACGCAGAGGGTTATTTTTAACCATTGTGATAGCCATGTCTCTCTGTATGTGCTACTGTATGTGTGGCATACTATTACTACTGCTACTACTACTACTGCTACTACTACTACTAATATATTACTGCTGCTACTACTACTACTACTACTACTGCTACTACTGCTACTACTACTACTATATTACTGCTACTACTACTACTACTACTGCAACTACTTCTACTACTACTACTACTGTTGCTACTGCTACTACCACTACTACTGCTGCTACTGCTGCTGCTACTACTACTACTGCTACTGCTACTGCTACTGCTACTGCTGCTGCTGCTGCTGCTGCTACTACTACTACTACTACTACTACTGCTAATAGTACTACTACTACTGCTACTAGTACTACTACTACTGCTACTACTACTAGTAGTACTACTACTACTACTACTACTAGTACCACTACTACTACTGCTAATAGTAGTACTACTACTACTGCTGCTACTACTACTACTGCTACTACTACTAGTACTACTACTACTGCTACTAGTACTACTGCTGCTGCTACTACTACTACAACTGCTAATACTACTGCTACTACTGCTGCTACTACTACTACTACTACTACTACTACTGCTACTACTACTACTGCTACTACTACTACTAGTACTACTACTGCTACTACTGCTGCTACTACTACTGCTACAAGTACTACTAGTACTACTGCTGCTTCTACTACTACTAGTACTACTGCTACTACTACTACTACTACGTAGTACTTCTACTGCTACGAGTACTACTACTACTACTACTACTACTACTACTACTACTACTACTACTATATTGCTACTACTACTACTACTACTACTCCTGCTACTACTACTACTACTACTACTACTACTACTACTACTACTGCTACTACTAATACTACTACTACTACTCCTGCTACTACTACTACTCCTGCTACTACTAATATTACTGCTGCTGCTACTACTACTACTACTACTACTACTACTACTACTACTACTACTACTACTACTACTACTACTACTACTACTACTACTACTACTATATTGCTACTACTACTACCACTACTACTGCTGCTGTACTACTACTACTAGAGACAAACAGGCAGTGATCGTTCTGTGAGAACAGGTGTTGTTTACAACAGCTGGGAGGGTGTGTGTGTGTGTGTGTGTCTGGCGGTAAGGTGAGGTGTCATTGGAGGCCTGCTATTGCTAACCACGCTGACAGGAAAGCTGAAAGCTCCTCCTATATTTAGCCTAGCCGCCCAATCACATTTGCTAATTTAAAAAGCGGCGTAAGGGGAGGGGAGAGGTGTGTATGCGAAGGCATGTGTTTTGGTGTATGTGCACGTGCTCATGTGCGTGTGTGAGAGAGAGAGAGAGAGAGAGAGAGAGAGAGAGAGAGAGAGAGGGAGAGAGAGAGAGAGAGAGAGAGAGGGAGAAAAGGAGAGAGAGAGAGAGAGAGAGAGAGAGAGAGAGAGAGAGAGAGAGAGAGAGAGAGATGAGCTACTTCAAGGGAAACCTGGGTTTGAGGGCAGATATCCTCTGTGTGGCCTTCTGCTGACCAGGGCCAGGCCCACTCCCATGATGCCACATTGGAGCAGCATTGTGTTTCAGCCATATGGGAGGAAGTAGCTATGGGATCTATCACTCCGTCTCTGAGAACATTCAGAGGACTGAAGAACAGAGGACATATGTTTCCTCTCTCTCTCTCTCTCTCTCTCTCTCTCTCGCTCTCTCTCTCTCTCTCTCTCATGGTGGGCAGCACATCTCCTATAGGGTTGACGACCTCTCCATGGGTGGACAGGGGGATGGGAAGGGTTAGGATTGGAAAGGGAGGGTAAAAACGTTGTCTCAGTGTTGTTATGTGACCTTTACCTGACCTTTACATGTGTTCTGTATACCAGTGGAGGCTGCTGAGGGGAGGACGGCTCATAATAATGGCTGGAAAGGAGCAAGTGGAATGGAATCAAACGCATGGAAACCATGTGTTTGATACCATTCCACTAATTCCGTTCCAGCCATTACCACGAGCATGTCCTCCCCAATTAAGGTGCTACCAACCTCCTGTGCTGTGTACATATACGTTACCCAGAGCATTTTTCAAGAAAATATGCATGTTTAAGTTGTAGATTTTATTGTGTATTTATGACTTTTGCAAATTGTGTCAAATAATTCAGCATTAGCTGCCATTGATACTATGTAATGTTGCCTTATTGAATTTGAAATAAACCATTCTCTCTCTTACTGGTTTTCCCACCATTCTGGGATGAGATTCCCTTTCCATGAACAGAGAAGGAGAGAAAGGTCAAAAGAAGCAATGATACACACCTCAAGACAAAAGGCAGCTCTTGTCTGTCAATCTCAAACACAATCCTGCTTTGATGGGTCAGTCAGACAGTCAAACAGTCAGTCAGACAGTTAGTCAGTCACTCAGACAGTCAGTCAGTCAGACATACACTCAGTCAGTCAGTCAGACAGTCAGACAGTTAGTCAGTCACTCAGACAGTCAGTCAGTCAGACATACACTCAGTCAGTCAGTCAGACAGTCAGATAGTTAGGCAGTCACTCAGACAGTCAGTCAGTCAGACATACACTCAGTCAGTCAGTCAGTCAGACATACACTCAGACAGTCAGTCAGACAGTCAGATAGTTAGGCAGTCACTCAGTCAGTCAGTCAGACAGTCAGATAGTTAGGCAGTCACTCAGACAGTCAGTCAGTCAGACATACACTCAGTCAGTCAGTCAGACATACACTCAGACAGTCAGTCAGACAGTCAGATAGTTAGGCAGTCACTCAGTCAGTCAGTCAGACAGTCAGATAGTTAGGCAGTCACTCAGACAGTCAGTCAGTCAGACATACACTCAGTCAGTCAGTCAGACAGTCAGATAGTTAGTCAGTCACTCAGACAGTCAGTCAGTCAGACATACACTCAGTCAGTCAGTCAGTCAGTCAGACAGTCAGATAGTTAGGCAGTCACTCAGACAGTCAGTCAGACAGTCAGTCATCGACAGACCATCACACCACATGCTCCAGACCAGCTGCAAAAAAACAACTTGTAATCCAATTCAGATGGAGGATTCCAGGAAAGTAGAGCGCGATAGACTGTAACTGGAACATCTGGACAGTCAGACCTCTCTCCACAATCACCTACTGTCAACAACATCATACACTTGGATTAGATCTTCTAGATCTCTCCAGTCCAGACTCTACTTGGGTATTTCCAAATCTGAGAATCTGAAGGGAATAGGTGTGACTTTCGCTCACAGTTAAAAATGGTATGTTTTATTTAGCTATTTCAGTAAAAAAACATGACGTTTCATTCGTCAATTGCCATCATTAGAATCTACTAATCTCCAACCTGAGGAGGATCTATAACGTATGACCAATATATGGCCACTGTTTGACCAAAGTTATATAAAAGGTCAAAATGGGATTGTATTGATGCTTGAGACAGACAATGCTCATTTGGGGTTGTCTGTGGACCAGTCAAAATAGAATGGGGCCGGTGTTTGCCCTACTCTGGACTGTATAGAATGGGGCCGGTGTTTGCCCTACTCTGGACTGTATAGAATGGGGCCGGTGTTTGCCCTACTCTGGACTGTATAGAATGGGGCCGGTGTTTGCCCTACTCTGGACTGTATAGAATGGGGCCGGTGTTTGCCCTACTCTGGACTGTATAGAATGGGGGACAGTTTGGGCTACTCTGATAATCTTAAATTAGCTTTATACAGAATGTTCTGAGAACAGGAGAACAGGGAAAAATGTAAATGAGAAACCAAAAGTAATGTGATGGGTAAGGTGTTGTTGGAACCTCTTCTACATCTGATTCCCTCCAGAAGATCTGTCACCTGAAGTAAACCATTAGATGGTTTCAGTATCACCTTATTCGTCATCAGGCACAATAACTAGATCAGTCATTTTCGGATAAATGGTTACTACAAGTCATTATTTGATCAATAATAGGTGACCCAGTAGATCAGTAATAATCTGATATCTGATCCCCCTCCTAAAGATAAGCCTGACCTACACTTTTCTCTCTTCCCTAAATCACATTAACCTCCCAAACATCTTCTTCGTGCCGTCCCCTTCTTTACATTTACATTTTTAGTCATTTAGCAGACGCTCTTATCCAGAGCAACTTACAGGAGCAATTAGGGTTAAGTGCCTTGCTCAAGGGCACATCGACAGATTGTTCACCTAGTCGGCTCGGGATTAGAACCAGCGACCTTTCGGTTACTGGCACAACGCTCTTAACCACTAAGCTACCTGCTACCCCTTCTCTAGCCTCTCTTACCCAACACATACTTAGGGTGTATCTGGATTAATCTACGATGGGTAAACGTTCTCTCTACACGAGTCGTTCCATGATCCAACACATCGATCTTGCCGGCGAGTTGGCCGTTTGGAGCAACATTATCGATCTAAACATCGTTTTAAAATGTTAATAAATCGATTGTATCGACTACTAGGAAATAAACCCATTGGATTTAAGCACGTCAGACTTTATATGCAGGGGTGCACATAACTGGTACGCAGATACGCAAGCGCGACAAAAACTCAGGAATGGCGTAATGCCACTTGTGTTACTACGCGCCTTTGCGTACTTGACCGATCTTCTCATCTAACCTTACACATGACATGTTGCTTGTCAACTACTGTCAGGGATGTCCAAAAAGCAACAGACATTAAGCAGCTTCTTTGGCGTTTCGCCACCTACAAAGAAACGCCAACTGGAGCCAGAGCCGAAGAAAATACTTTTTTCGGAAAAGTGGCTCCAAGATGTGCAGTGGCTTGAAGCTAACGATGAGCGCACTGAAATGTGGTGCAAGATTTGCCGCTCAAATCCACATCTAGCAGACAAAACAGGTGCATTTTATAAAGGCCCAAAGAATTTCAACCATCCTTTATTTGACAAACATGAAAAGAGCAAGGAGCACATGAATGTGGCGCAAGCCATTGCTAAAAGCTAGCCGAGAATAAATGTCCAGTCGCCCACTTGCCAGATGGCGAGACAAGCTGAATGAAGAACAGCGGCAAGCTCTGTTTAATATTTTTCTCTTTCCATAAAGCTAAACACGCACGTCCCATGTCTTCCTATTCTGAGGATGTTCCTTTACTGAAGCGGCTAGGAGTAAATGTCGGAGGTGCATATCATTCACGTGAAGGGGGCACACGGATCATGCAGAGCATCGCTCACACCATCAGCGGGGAGTTACGAGCCAAGTTGCAGTCTGCTGAATTTTGGGGGCTGCTTTTTGATGGATCTGAGGACATCACAAAAACTGAGCAGGAAATAGTTTACATTGTGTCTGTGTCCAGCAACGGAGAGTTTACTTCGGACTTTATTGGACTGATTGAATTGGGTGCTGACCGAACCGCACAGGCCATAACAGACGGACTTGTGAGACTTTTCCAGGACACAGGCTTGGATGACTGGACAACAAAGTTGGTCGCTGTGTGCACAGACGGGGCTGCTGTCAACGTAGGTATCTACAACGGCGTTGTGCCAAAACTCCGGCAACATGCTGCGGTTGGAGACTCCCTTGTGCACATTCTGTGCACCGCACACACACTGGAGAATTGCGCGAAATCAGCTGATCGCAACGTTCCTTACTGTGAGACATTTCATCGCTCTGTGGTCAAGCTGCTGCAGTTTTATTTACAAAAAGGTGGAGCAAAAAAAACTGCTGCACTGAATAAAGCTATGTGAAGAAAATAAGATCTCCTTTGTGGAACTGGGTAAGTTTCATAATACCAGATGGTCTGCATGGAGGCATGAAACACTGTTAAAAATATCAAGACTATTGCCAGCCATTAAAATGCAACTGGTTACGAGTGATAAGTGACTTGCAGCATATCTGCACAGAGCGTTTTCAGTGCTTTCTGTCAAACATGCTTGACATTTGCAACATTTTGAAGACCACATCCATTAGGTTTCAGAAGGAAAAGCTGACCATTGGAGAATGTAAGGATGAACTCATGGTGGCCATTGGACAGTTCACACTTCTGCTTGATGGTGAAAGCCACAGGGCACACACTGTTTCCAATGCTGATGCTGACAGAGACAAGACACACTTACTCAGGGGGTTAATTGAAGAGTTTGAAATCAGATATGACTCCCTCAAGTCATGTGATCATTTCTTAGTATTTGATCCTTCAACATGGCCTCAGGAAATGCAAGACCTCCACAGTTTTGGAAACACAACAGTTTGCAGCATTCTCAAGAAATATGAGGCCACCTTGCAACTTGACAAAGATACCACTGTGACAGAATGGATGCGCTTAAAGCAGGCAGGAAAACGCCTGGGAGCCTCTTCTGTGTATGACTTGGTCCAAATAGTAAGTACAAGTAACCCAGATGCTTATTCCAACATCAACAAGGTGGTTAAGCTGTCTCTTACACTGCCTTTAAGCAGTGCAGCTTGTGAGAGGGGATTCTCACATCTCAACATAATAAAAACCAAGTACAGATCTTGTCTGTCACATGCTCGTCTCTCAGCCCTGATGCACATTCACCTGTCAAAGCAGACCACAGAGACATTTGACCCAAAGCTTGCTGTTGACCTGTGGATGGAGACAGCTAATCGGAGGCTCAACCAAGGACAGGGAGGTGTATCTGCAGCATCTTCATCTACCATGCAGGAAGCTGAAGCAGAGGACAGTGGGGGGCGACACTGAAGAGGACAGTGAGGAAGACTGTACTTATTAAGACCACGCTACATATGGGGTGAGTACCAGACACCATCTGCTGGTACTCACCTGAGTAACTCACTGAAAAAGGTATGTGCACCCCTGTTTATATGGATGTTTTTTCTTAGCACTTTTAATGATAAAGGCTTTAAACATTACTCGATTCAGTCTGCCTATCCGTGACGTCATCGCGCCAGCAGCAGCGCAAAGGCGCCAAGACAACAAAACATAGCATGGCGGACGACAGAGGAGAAGCCGACGAGCGAGAAATTATCAAGCCACCATTACCTTACAAGAAACAGGAATCTAGGAAACTTCACCTGCACTGTCCAGTATCCAGGTATTTATTTCAGTCACACTGGTTGAATTTTTGGCTAAAAGGTTACTGAATCGATTTCAAGTCACTGAATCGTTTCGGATCGTATCGTTCTAAATGAACCAATATCGTCCTTGAATCGTATCGACAACCACGAATCGTGATACAAATCGAATCGTTGTTAAAACGAATCGTTACACCCCTATTACATTAGCTTTATACAGAATGTTCTGAGAACAGGAGAACAGGGAAAAATGTAAATGAGAAACCAAAAGTAATGTGATGGGTAAGGTGTTGTTCTCTAATGCCACCTCTTCTACATCTGATTCCCTCCAGAAGATCTGTCACCTGAAGTAAACCATTAGATGGTTTCAGTATCACCTTATTAGTCATCAGGCACAATAACTAGATCAGTCATTTTCGGATAAATGGTTACTACAAGTCATTATTTGATCAATGGTTGTTGGTTACTACAGGTGACCCAGTAGATCAGTAATAATCTGATATCTGATCCCCCTCCTAAAGATAAGCCTGACCTACACTTTTCTCTCTTCCCTAAACCTCCCAAACATCTTCTTCGTGCCGTCCCCTTCTCTAACCTCTCTTACCCAACACATACTTAGGGTGTGTTCCAAATGGCACCGTATTCCCTACATAGTGCACATAGTGCTATGGGCCCTATGGGTCAAAAGTAGTGTCATATACAGAGGATAGGGTGCCATTTGGGACGCAGACTTACGCTTCTCTCTTACACAAGTAGGGTCCAATGAAGCATCACACAAATATCTGAAGCGGACAGGTTCCACTCTTACCCCCCCCCCCCCCCTGCCCATTTAAGCTGAAACACACACCGCCATTTACACAAGAGCTCCATAAAAGTGCCCGGGCAGCGCTATCTATCTACCGCCCTTGCCTGCCATTCATTCAGCCTGTATTGGGTTAGCGAGCTAACCGCCGCTAACGCTAACCCGTTAGTGAGTAGTTAGCATAGCCAGGCAGAATTAATGGGAGTCAGTGGGATCTAATAGGTTAGCCCATGATCACGTGTCATTGACAAGGCCTGTTAGCCTGACCTGTGCCGTTCCGAGCCTGCGCTAGCTGCAAGCAACCAATCCCTACCAACCCCATTGATCATTTTGCGCTAGCTGCTTCGGTCAGTGCTGTTAATCAATTTAGGGGCCGGGGCTGTAGGATGAGGAGCCAGTAATGATGCTCTCTGCTCTCTCCCCAGAGACCAGGCATTATAAAGAAGTTACATTATTTATCAGCAGGGCCTGGACGGGGCCTCCATTAGCCCCCACTCAATTGAGTCGCTGGCTATAAAGGAAGGAGTGGATGGAGAGAGGAATAAAGAGATGGAGAGAGATAAAGATGAGAGGAGAGAGGGATGAAGAGATGGAGAGAGATAAAGATGAGAGGAGAGAGGGATGGGAGATGAGGGGGTGGGGGGGCAGAGAGTGTGTGTGTGTGTGTGTGTGTGTGTGTGTGTGTGTGTGTGTGTGTGTGTGTGTGTGTGTGTGTGTGTGTGTGTGTGTGTGTGTGTGTGTGTGCGTGCGTGTGCGTGCGTGCGTGCGTGCGTGTGTGTGTGCAAGTGTGTCTGAGAGAGAGAAAAAGAGTGAAGAGAGACAGAGAGAGGAAAGAGGAAGGAGTGCGAAGGGGTATGCAAGTTCTTGTTAATACACACACTGTCTAGCCTCTTGGTGTAAACCTTCCACTTCACACAGGAGTGTTCCCTCTAACTGTCAGCTCAGCAGCCAAACACAAATAGTGACTGTATGGCCTGGTTGTGCTGTCTCCCTCTCACTCTGTGTGGCCTGACCCACCTATTACAATTATTATATGTTCATTAATACACAAATAACAGTCATCAAGTGCAAAAATTGGATATCAAAATTCAAAGCAACCAAGATAAAGTGTTTCGGCAAGCAAGCCCTCACGAACTAGGCCTACCCACGACACCACGACACACAAACAAACATACGTCTTCAGTCTCTTCAGTAGTCAGAAATAACCAGACAGACTCTCAGACGGAGGTGTTGCCCTTGGCAACTAGACACAGCATTGACCTGGGAGGACTACACAAAACTAGGGTCAGTTATCACACACACACACACACACACACACACACATATCCACCACACCTCACATTAGCCACAGACATAACTCACCCACTGTAACCAACACATGGTGTTTCAATCAGCTATCCCAACCATCCCAGGCATTTGGGGTAAGTGTTGTGTTTATGGTGGTTGGGGCAGTCGGGAGGACACTTCAGGCCAACACATCATGAGGGGTCTGGGATGAGATGGGGCAGAGACATATAGAGAAGGGCTATTCTGAGGATGCCTCTGTCTGAACTGAGAATGATGTTATGGCTGGAGACTGGAACGTGGTTAACTGATGTTTATTCCTATAAGGGGGACATGTCTCTCCAAGTCCACCATGTGCTGTCCCAGACTGAATCCAGGAGATGTCCACCTATAGATTACCAGAAGAGGAACTGAGAAATGTGCTCTTGCTAATGTGCTATTCCCTCTGTATAAGATCTAGACTAAATGTCATAACTAAGTCTGGACTAATTTTCACAGTGTTAACTACACAGTAGAACTGTAATGAAAAATACTTCTTAAAATACTTATCACTATCAATACTAGGATTTAGCGATACAGTAGACTTGTCCCTTTCACTCCTTCCATTATCCTGTCTTTAGCAAACCTACCATCTATCTGTTATAAGCATCAGACCTATCTTTATAAACTATGTAACACAGGCGTTGCATCACAATCGTTATATCAATTTAAAAGATTGAATAAAGGCAAACTGACAAACTCTACAGTGTGCCCCGCAAAGAAAACAGAAACAAATTGTTCATCTATAATAAACCACAAAGCTGAATTTGACAAGAATGCAGAAGGATTCAACAATTGTACTAAATCATGGACAAGGACAAATTCCAGTCCTTGGAGTAATCTGATATGTCATCTTCAATGATGTCAGGAGATCTGGCCCTGCTGCTCAGGGTCTCTCACACACACAGGCTCGCTCTGCATCCATGAGACATGGAACACACACACACACACACACACGTGCACACATGCATGTGCAGGTGCACGCAAACACACACAAGATGGAGAAGATAGATAGCCTATGTTGATTATTGAAATCAAGTCATTTAGCCCTGAAAGACACAGCTTCCCTTCAGATTTACACTGACATTGAGATGAAGATCACTGTTAATAAATCTCGCAAATCTTGGTTTTGCTGCTACATGCATGATGCATGAACATCAATCAAATAATCTGCATATAAAGCTTTAGTCTGAAGCAAACACACCTCATTATCAATCCCTCAAACATTTACAGATGGAAAGTAAATATGTGTGTCACAAATCTGATATCTGATGTTGATATTATTTCTGAGTACAAGAGGCCTACATCAGTAGCATATTAGATATAACCACAACAGATACAGATGGACAGACTGATGTCAAACATCATACCAACACAATGCATCACAAAGGTTAATCATCAAAGCAGACTGACTGCACACATTGAAATTCACACATTCTGCACGCTATTAATATTGTTTACAAGTATGTGTTCCAACTGTAGAATACACTATGATGTTATACATATAAAATGAATCCCACATTATACTAATTGCCAATCAATCTCTAATGCCAAATATGATAGACAGAAAAGTTTGAAGCCTCAAAAGACACTTTCACTATCCCTTTTTAAAAGTTGCAAATGCTAATTATTATTATTTTTACAAACAATAGATATAGTCAACCGAACATACTCATTCCCCCAAGGTTGTTTATGTTTTGACGGGTGAAAAATAAAGTTTACAGTACCTTATAAACCGCTATCAAGCTCGCTCTCAAAGCTTCCATACTATACAGCTGCCTGTCTTCGGTCTATTCGCGCTGGCGTCAGTGAGTCGCGGAGCCGTCGCACCCTCCGCCGAGCGCCAGTATCATGCCGCGGGATACAGTTTGGGGCGGTCCGTGAATAACAAGACCTACTTTTACACATCTAACATTTTCATGCACTGTGGAATGGATTATGTAACTATAAAACAATGTATCCTTTCGTGGAGTTTTTTAAAGGAGGGCTAGCTCTTTTGCTATTTTGGCAGTGGAGACTCTCTTTAGTGGAGCACCAAGTTGATTGTAGAGGACTCATCTGAATCCTATGTTTGAAGCACATGAGTTATTGTCGTTAGATACTTTAATTGGAAAAACTTGATACAGTTATGTGCTGCATCTTTTATATGCAAATTGCATGAATGAGAAAATAAGTACAGTTATCATATTTATTTTACGAAACTGTGAACATTTTTGAGGGTTTGATTAATTGTGATTAGATAGCCTAACATGTTTACTGATGGATTGTCACAGCTGTTTTTGATGAACAGTTGCATTTATTCGAAATATCTATTTATTGCCATTGATGTATTGCTGATTCAACAAAATGCCCACACATATGCACACACTGTACGACTGTTATAAAGGTAAATAAAGATTGTGATCATTTCTTGTCAAAGGAATGCATATAATACATTATAAGTGAATGCATTTCACCGACATAAAAACGTAGGTTCTTCTGGTGAAATAATATATAATATAATAATATATGCCATTTTGCAGACGCTTTTATTCAAAGTTACTTTCAGTCAAGCATGTACACAAAAACAGCTGTGCCAATCCATCTGCAAAACTATAAAAGCAACATTCAACAATTTCAAAGATTTGACTGAGTTACAGTTCATATACGGAAATCAGTCAATTGAAATAAATAAATTAGGCCCTAATCTATGGATTTCACATGACTGGGCAGGGGTGCAGCCATGAGTGGGCTTGGGAGGGCATAGACCCACCCACTTGGCAGCCAGGCCCAGCCAATCAGAATGAGTTTTTCCCCACAAAAGGGCTTTATTATAGGCAGAAATACTCCTCAGTTTCATCAGCTGTCTGGGTGGCTGGTCTCAAACGATATCCCGCAGGTGAAGAAGCCTGATGTGGAGGTCCTGGGCTACCATGGTTACACGTGGTCTGTGGTTGTGAGGCTGATTGGATGTACTGCCAAATTCTCTAAAACGACGTTGGAGGTGACTTATGGTAGAGAAATGAACATTTAATTATCTGCCAACAGCTCTGCAGTCAGCATGCCAATTGCACGCTCCCTCAAAACTTGAGACATCTATGGCATTGGATTGTGTGACAAAACTGCACATTTTAGAGTGGCCTTTTATTGTCCACAGTACAAGGTGCACCTGTGTAATGATCATGCAGTTTAATCAACTTATTAATATGCCACACCTGTCAGGTGGATTAATTATCTTGGCAAAGGAGAAATGCTCACTAACAGGGATGTAAACAAATTTGTGCCCTAAATTTGAAATAAATAAGCTTTTTTTTGCGTATGGAAAATTTCTAGGATCTTTTATTTCAGCTCATGAAACATGGGATCCGCACTTTACATGTTGCGTTTATATTTTTGTTCAGTATATATTCAATAACCAGAATATGCCAACTTACTGTAGACCGAATATAAGCCTATTATCACCACAAGTTAAAAATACACCTCTGCATCAGAACTGGATCAGTAATCTCTTGCAAATATGAGAGCCAGAGCGATAACACTGGTGTGGTTATCTGATGGAACTGATCTGAACTCTTGAACTGATCTGTGCTAAGCTTGTTCTTAGTTCCCCTTCTTTGATTGTGGCGCGATAAGCACTATTTATGTAGTCGGGAGAACAAAGTGTCTAAGGCGAGTATCCACACAAAAGAGCATGTTCTCTCATGTCCTCATATAGGCACACCTTGCTCTAGGCCTAGGCCCGAAAGACAGTGTTTTAAAGTAAAGTGGATAAAGACAGCTTTGTTACAACCTAACAACAATGGGCCTGTGTTTTACATGGAGAAAGACAGCTTTGTTACAACCTAACAACAATGGGCCTGTGTTTTACGTGGAGAAAGACAGCTTTGTTACAACCTAACAACAATGGGCCTGTGTTTATGTGGAGAAAGACAGCTTTGTTACAACCTAACAACAATGGGCCTGCGTTTTACGTGGAGAAAGACAGCTTTGTTACAACCTAACAACAATGGGCCTGTGTTTTATGTGGAGAAAGACAGCTTTGTTACAACCTAACAACAATGGGCCTGTGTTTTACGTGGAGAAAGACAGCTTTGTTACAACCTAACAACAATGGGCCTGTGTTTTATGTGGAGAAAGACAGCTTTGTTACAACCTAACCACAATGGGCCTGTGATTTATGTGGAGAAAGACAGCTTTGTTACAACCTAACAACAATGGGCCTGTGTTTTACGTGGAGAAAGACAGCTTTGTTACAACCTAACAACAATGTGCCTGTGTTTTACTTGGAGAAAGACAGCTTTTTTACAACCTAACAACAATGGGCCTGTGTTTTACATGGAGAAAGACAGCTTTGTTACAACCTAACAACAATGGGCCTGTGTTTTACATGGAGAAAGACAGCTTTGTTACAACCTAACAACAATGGGCCTGTGTTTTACGTGGAGAAAGACAGCTTTGTTACAACCTAACAACAATGGGCCTGTGTTTATGTGGAGAAAGACAGCTTTGTTACAACCTAACAACAATGGGCCTGTTTTACGTGGAGAAAGACAGCTTTGTTACAACCTAACAACAATGGGCCTGTGTTTTATGTGGAGAAAGACAGCTTTGTTACAACCTAACCACAATGGGCCTGTGTTTATGTGGAGAAAGACAGCTTTGTTACAACCTAACAACAATGGGCCTGTGTTTTATGTGGAGAAAGACAGCTTTGTTATAACCTAACAACAATGGGCCTGTGTTTTATGTGGAGAAAGACAGCTTTGTTACAACCTAACAACAATGGGCCTGTGTTTTATGTGGAGAAAGATGGCTTAGTTTGTATCAACCCTCATTTTGATAGTTGCACTGTCAGAGAGAACGAAGCTTCAACAATTCATCAAACCATCTCATTAATACTGCATGCTAATGCATGAAAATAGACTATAGGGTAGCAGGCAGGCAGCAGGCAGGCAGACTGCACAGGGTGGAGGACAGGAACATTAAGTGTATTTTCCTCTCTCAGATTTGTGTGTGAGAGAGATGATACTAGACTGCAGACATAAACCCATGTTATATGTATTGACTGAATTGATAAATAGGCTCCATGCATAGGCTAATAATAATTACTGATAGTTTACAATTGTGGTATAGTGCACCATAGCCTAGCCTACATCTGGAAGCCTGTAAGAAAAGGAGGCAAAGAAGAATATAATACAATAGAATATGACATGATAGAATGAAACAGAATATAAAATAATGGAATAGAACAGAATAGAATAGAATTGGCCCATGCCATGATGAGACATAGGCTAAATAACCTAAACATGGTGATGTTCATTTTCGTAGAATTTTGTTTGAGTTCAACGGTAAACTTTGACATTACTATTTGCCAAGTTGGAGGGAATAGCCATCGGCAGCAAACAGAGAGAAGCCGGTGGAACTAGATTCTCCTCAGGACTACTAGCGGCGGAGGAAAACCGCTGAAAGTGGAAGTTACTAGCGCAGGTTACGTCACGGGGCTGGCGACAGAATGTCTGAGTGAGGCGAGAGCAAGCTGCACGTGAATGTGAAGTGAAATCTGGGAAAACAGTGCGATGTGCGAGTGTGATTAGAGCAGTTGAGGAGGAAAGACGAGGACTCTCGGAGGAGCCCTGAATTATAATAAAATTGTCAGCAAATTTGATTACTTTGCTGTTTTAGAGCAGCAACAGTGTCTGTTTGCTCTCTCTTGTTCTGGCTGTACTTTTACAGACTGCAACTCACTGTCCAAATACTGTAAATTAATTTGTTTGCAAAGCTGGCAGCCACCCTATTTGCATTATGGCACCATCATATCTGATAAACACAATGCACACATTCTGTGCCAGACAGACTATCAGTGTGAGCACAGCATAATGGTAATCCATTTATCAAACCTATTTGAATCAGAACCTTGTAAAAGGTATTTTGATGACTTGATTGCAAAAAAAATTATGCATTTGCTGATATACACTATATATACAAAAGTATGTGAACACCCCTTCAAATTAGTGGATTCGGCTATTTCAGCCACAACCGTTGCTGACAGGTGTATAAAATCGAGCACACAGCCATGCAATCTCCATAGACAAACATTCACAGTAGAATGGCCTTGCTGAAGAGCTGAGGGACGTTCAACGTGGCAACATCATAGGATGCCACCTTTCCAACAAGTCAGTTCATCAAATTTCTGCCCTGCTAGAGCTGCCCAGGTCAACTATAAGTGTTAT